CCGGCAGACCTTGGAGCCGCAACTCAACATTCTACCCATCATCTCTCCTTGCTCTCTTCACCATCATCTCTCCTTGCTCTCTTCACCATCATCTCTCCTTGCTCTCTTCCTTCTTCTCTCCCTACTTCCCTTCATGTTTCTCTCTTGCTTTTTACCTCTTTCGACTGATCCCCACCTGATCCGCACTTGATGCCTGCCTGCCGGCCCGTACCCACCCCCCCTCCCCCCCTCTCGCGCCCACAGGAGCTGGTGGATGCCACAGCTACCGCGCGCGCCTCACCATGCCTTCTGAGTCGACTCAGGAGATGCCAGCGGGCCTGTACCCATACCCCCTCACCCATACCCCCCGTCTGTCCACGCCCACAGGAGCTGCTGGATGCGTACAGCTACCGCCACCCGCCTCACCATGCCTTTTGACCTCACCATGCCTTTTGACCTCACCATGCCTTTTGACCTCACCATGCCTTTTGACCTCACCATGCCTTTTGACCTCACCATGCCTTTTGACCTCACCATGCCTTTTGACCTCACCATGCCTTTTGACCTCACCATGACTCAAAAGCAAAACCGGCCGGCATGTGCCTCCCCCCTCTCCCCCCTTCCCCTCCCTCCCGCGCCCACAGGAGCTGGTGGACGCCTACAGCTATCGTGAGCGCCTCACCATGCCCAAGCTCATTGTCTCCGCTGCCAACGACGAGTTCTTCGCGCTCGATGACAGGTGGGGTGCGGTGATGACAGGTGGGGTGTGGTAATGACAGGTGGGGTGCGGTGATGACAGGTGGGTGAGAGGCAGGCATTGCCTCCGTGGCAGGGGGGTCTGCCGTGGGCGACAGGTGGGCGGCAGGCAGACGGCGTTGCCATGGACAATAGGTGGGTGGGTACGTTGCCATGGACAATAGGTGGGTGGGTACGTTGCCATGGACAATAGGTGGGTGGGTACGTTGCCATGGACAATAGGTGGGTGGGTACGTTGCCATGGACAATAGGTGGGTGGGTACGGTGCCATGGACAATAGGTGGGTGGGTACGTTGCCATGGACAATAGGTGGGTGGGTACGTTGCCATGGGTGACGGGTGGATGACAGGTACAGAGGGTGGGACTCGTGACACTGAGGGCAGTGGAGTGTGAGTGAGTGAGTGTGTTGTACGACCACACCTTGCTCGTTGGGAATGCACCTCCTTCCACCTCATACCCCCCTGTACACCCCGCATCCCCCCTCCCCCCCCGCCCCCCTGTGCGCTTGGGGCAGCTACCGGAGCCCAAGTTGCTCAAGCTCACCTTGCTCATTGGGAATGCACCTCCTCCCGCTCGGCCCCTCATCCCCACACTCCCCTCTACGCCCCTCATCCCCACGCTCCCCTCTACGCCCCTCATCCCCACGCTCCCCTCTACGCCCCTCATCCCCCCCCACATCCCCCCTGCATCCCCCCCGGGCAGCTACAACTACTGGGAGGGGCTGCCGGAGCCCAAGTTCTTCAAGCTGCTGCCCAACATCGACCACATGGTGCTGCAGCTCTCACAGTGGGTGAGCTGCTTGCCACCCTACTTTTTTTTTTTTCTCGTTCGTTCTTTGTTTCTTTTGTTCGTTCGTTCGTTCGTTCGTTCGTTCCGTTCGTTCTCTCTTTCTCTCTTCAATCCTTCCTTCCTTCCTTCCTTCCTTCCTTCCTTCCTTCCTTCCTTCCTTCCTTCCTTCCTTCCTTCCTTCCTTCCTTCCTTCCTTCCTTCCTTCCTTCCTTCCTTCCTTCCTTCCTTCCTTCCTTCCTTCCTTCCTTCCTTCCTTCCTTCCTTCCTTCCTTCCTTCCTTCCTTCCTTCCTTCCTTACTTACTTACTTACTTACTTACTTACTTCCTTCCTTCCTTCCTTCCTTTCCAAGGTTCAAAAATACGACCGAATTTTTGAAAAAGTCACCGTAAAATACGGTATCGTATTTTACGGTCGTATTAAACGTAAAATACGGTCAGACCTTGCATTTTTAGGTTCGTTCAAAAATACGGTCGTTTTTTACGGCCGCAATTTTGAAACCGAGATTTATGAAAGTATTCCTAGACCTTGGTTATGGCCGTCGCGTTCGCATAATACTTAGGGGAGTTTCGGTGGAGCTCAGGAACATCCCTACGGAAGCTCTGACAGATTCCGAGGCCATCCATAAGGGCATGGAAGATCCTTACGAACATGTAAGGGGAGTTGGGTCTTGTAGATCTAGGGTTGGGTTGAGGCCGATGTTGAGATCTGTGAAAGTGTAAGGGGGGTTGGGTCTTGTAGATTCAGAGCGGTGACAAGTGGTAACTGGCGACAAATTGGTTGCGACATTTAGTTCCAACAATTTTGACGGGGAGTAAGGCAGTTCCTGGCGGGATCCAATCGACCGGCAGATCGGCGGGCGAAATCGCCGCACAAGCGTGGTCACTTATAATAGTCTGAGTTTTTGTGGGGGAGCGGCTTTTTAGGCCTGACAGTTAGCAATTTTCCTGATGTTCGCATCCTTAGAGGTGGACGGTTCCAAGTCTGGGAAAAAAATCTCCAACAAAAAAACGGCCGATTTTTTTGGAAATTGGCCGTAAAATACGACCGTAAAAAACGGCCCGTATAATACGACAACCGTATTTTTAATCCTTGAACCTACCCGCCTGCCAATCACTCTCCGCCTGCCTTGCCATCCCCTCACTCACCGTCAGGGCTACGATGCGTGCATCTCCCTCTTCCTCACCTTTGTGTTGCACACTGCCATCCCCCCACTCACGCACGCCTGCCCTCTCCCCTCTTCAAACCCTCCCCCCCCCCCCTCCCCCGCACAGGGCTACGACGCCTGCATGTCCTTCTTCCTCGCTCTGCTCCACGACACCTCCGCCTGTGCCGCCCTGCCCCCCTCCCGCCGCCCCTCCCTCACCTGGCTTCCCCCCAACGCCTCCTCCCCTTCCTCCTCTCACCAACCCTCATCTTCACCCCCCTACTCATCCAATCCTACCGACACCACCAGCATCGGCGGCGGCGGTGGTGGCAGCAGCATTGGGAGGGTGGGGCTGTTCTCTCTGGCATTGGGGGGAGGCCGCTCTGCTGCCCCTCCGCTGCTGCTGCCGTGGTCCTGCTCCCCTGTGCTCGCTAACGTGCACTGGCCCAAGCTGACGTGGCGCTTTGATTGGTCCTCCTACACCATCCATGCCACGTCAGAGGCCAAACCTATGGCTGTGCACGCATGGTGAGGGGATGGTGGTGGGAGCACAGTGCGAGCACGTGGCGTGAGCATGGCGTGTGTGAGCATGGTGGGAGCGTGGCGCGAGCATGGTGATGATGCACGCCCCCAACTCCCCAATTCGGACCACTTCCCCCAGCGTCCCCATCCTGATTTCTCATGCCTCCTCCCTTTCCCTTTTCACTTCCATTCTCTCCCTCTCCCAACCAACATCTCCCTCTCCCAACCAACATCTCCCTCTCTCCATATTCACTCTCCCCTCCCCTCCCCTCGCCCCACCCTCCTGCTCGTGTCGTGCTGGCAGGACCGGGAAGACCTTCATGGGCAGCAAGCGGCGCGACTTCCGATTCATTTTGCACCAAGGCAGGACGGGATGGTGAGCGGTGGGACGGGGTGGTGAGCGTTGGAATGCGATTGTGAGAGGCAGAACAGGATGGTGAGCGGTGGGTCGAGATGGTGAGCGGTGGGTCGGGATGGTGAGCGGTGAGACGAGATGGTGAGAGGTGGGATGGGATGGTGAGAGCGAGGACTCCAAGCTGGCCCTCCAATCATGCACCATGTGCACATTGCTGTGTGACATGTGCTTTCAGCGTCTTCGATGCCTTGCTGTGTCGCCAGTACATTCTTTTCTCCTGTGTCGCCAGTACATTCTTTTCTCCTGTGTCGCCAGTACATTCTTTTCTCCTGTGTCGCCAGTACATTCTCTTCTCCTGTGTCGCCAGTACATTCTTTTCTCCTGTGTCGCCAGTACATTCTTTTCTCCTGTGTTGTATGTGTCGTGTATGATGGTTCTGTACCCTTTTCTGTCTATATATATGTGACATGTGACTGTATGGCATTTGAGTGTAGGGCACGTTCCTGCATAGTATGTGACTATGTTGAACTTCACTCCATGCCATGTCTCTTGATGCCATGTAACTTTATGCCATGTGACTGTATTCCATGTGACTGTACGCCATGTGACTGTATGTTTTTTTACTGTATGCCATGTGAGTCCACATCATGTGATTGCATGGCAGTGTGCTGCCCTTCCAGGGCCCAGCAGGAAGCTACGTGAGCAGGCTGGGCAAGCTGTGTGTGCAGCCCATTCCGTTCTTTGCCGATAAAGTCACACCCCCTACAAGGAAAGATGATGGCAAGTGGCATTTCAGCGCCACTGTCAGCGACATTCCCAAGGTGAGGCGTTGATCATCCTGCTGCTACTAACACATGTTCCCAGGGGGTGATTGGCTCCTGGGAGTAAGGCATTCCCAAGGGGAGAGTTACATGAAAGTGCTTCTCATAAAAGAAGAGCAAAATACTTCCATTTCACTTTTGTGCTCACTGGTTGTTGGTTTGTTGGGTGTTGGCAGGTGGGGTATCGGGCGCTGTGGATTCAAGTGGATTATGACCTTGCGAGTTACGACAAGCCCTTCTCCATCACCACAGAGGCAATGGTTGCGCCAAACAACTACCCCTTCGAGTATTGCGACACGGCAGAATGTCATAATGTACTGGTGTAAGCCGATGGAAATGACAATTCTGGCATGAAGTGCTATGACCCTGTTATTTGAAGGATTGCCAAATATTTCTTAAGGCTAAGTCTACTTGAAGCACGTCACCTAGCCCTGACAGAATGCAGTTCGTCCAGAATGCTCCATGGGGTCTTACAAATTCTCACGAGACCTTGTTTTCCTCTCCCATAGGGACCTTGTTTTCCTATCCCATGGGGCTGTTTTCCTCTCTCAGAGATAGACGCGTACAAAAAAGGAAAACGAGTGTAGATTAGATGTGCAATGCAAACATATAGTTGCAATGCAGATAGAGGAACTAGATCAAGGTAGGAACGATGACGCTGTCCACCCCATGGACCGCCACCTGGATGTCCACGTACACATTGCTCAGCTTCACAGACGCGCCACTACTGCTGCCAGGCCTCCCAAATTGCGCGACCACCGTCGGTAGGCGCACGACCTTCGCCCCCCCAAGCCCCGTTGGAATCTGCCGTGTGATAGGGCGCATTAGTAGCAGCGAGGAACGGGGAGTTTGTGCCGAGTCTCAGAACAAACGGAAGGAGACAGATGCGCGAAAGAATCACATTAATGGGATTCACTGCCAGCACGCAAGCACGCAGACCAAGATCAAGAGGGCTACTCCTTTGTAGTTTATTTTTTCCCGTGGGAGTGTGTGCTTACCTGTGTGCTGTAGGGTATCGCGGCGAGTTCCTGGGCCGAGTAGCGACCAGCGAGCAGGTGGTACGCAAACACCTGCCACATTTTGGTGGGATTCTTGTTAAGGTAGGCCAGTACTGTAGAGCTGAGCTTGCCCCATGCCGTGTTCACTGGCACGAGTAGCGTCGTCTTCGTTGTTGGCAGGCTTTTCAGAAGTGAGATATTGAATCCTGTGCACGGGACACGAGAGAATAGCGGGAATGAATTTAGCCTGGCCTGACGTAGCATCGCAAAAGGTCCAAACCTGTGTTAGTTTACTGTGGAAAAAAAAAACCACGGAGTGCACGGAATGATCGGCCACCGTGGCCGGGCACATGACGTGCAGCACTCACCACATCCCCTCATGTATTGGAGCGAGGTCGACATTCCTTGACATCCAAGTTTGTATTCGATATTCTTTAGCGCGCCCGAGGCAGAGTACTGCGCGTGCGCCGCGACGACAGCGCTGAGTAGCAATACCGCAAGGAGGAAGAGCGGACCTTGGAGGTTTCGCGTCGCCATCGCTGCCACGAAAGCTGCCGATGCGTCGATGTGTAAGCTACCCTAAAAATCTCAGTCGCTCAGTGACTGGCTGGTAGGAAACTGTTAAAACGGCTTGATTAACTCTAGCGCGATCGACTATTATGGAAACCGCCATTTATACTGATTGTCTCGCGCTGTCGTCTAGAGTTCCGTGCCTGGTTCAACAAGCACAGCAAAGGAACGACAGGAGCGAATGATGAGATGTGGTGCGTGGCTGGACAGAAGCGCCAAGCCATGTGGTACATTTGTGGATCAAGATTTTCGCCTCTCATAACCGCACCTACGAGTGTAAAACCGTAATGTACCCATTTACGAATCAAGGATTCCCCCATGCCTAACTGGATCTGGAGCGCACATCGCGCCGTATATCGTGCCAGGGACACTGGAAGTTGTAACTGATGTCGCCTCTCCTGCTGGCAGCTCAGAACAAAGAGGCTCAGGAAGGAGTCGTGTCGTCGTGACCCAGGTTCAAGAGCCCTGGTAGGGTCTCGCGAGGCTGCCTCGCCACCTGGAGCTCATCACGTCATTCGTGCCTGCCCACCTGAAGAGAAGAGACCCACCGATCGCACCATTCCGTTTCATCTCACCATGCGACGCGAGAGTACATACAGTAGAACAAGAATCGTCAGAGCCACGTCACGCAACAGAGGGTCTTGACTCTAAAATACTGCGCACCTCACAGCTCAGCCAGTTCCGCCAGCCCCACAAACAGAGTTCCCCCAACTACGCAGAAGGTTGGCAAACTACATCTCTAATTTCATTCCCATAACTTTAGGGGATGTTACCGGTATGATTCAGATAATAATTCCTATTGAAGCAAATTGCTGCACTATTTAGCCAGAGCTTCTGAGAACTATCATTTCGATACTGACATAGCTGCTGTGCTTTCAAAATAAGTTGGCACTAGCACTGGAAGTTTCTGTTTAGAATGTGGCACTAGCACTGGGTGTTAGAATTCTGCAAAGAGTGTCTTGAGAACATGAATTTACTGGGTACAACATGTCAGCCATCTCTGAACTATAAATTCAACTGTTGTCATAAGCGCTTGGCTCGCCAATCGAAAATTTCAGCTTCAATATCGTCGTCCTCCTCTTCCTCCTCATCCTCCTCTTCCTCAGCATCCTCCTCATCATCTTCATTACCTTCTTTTCCATCCTCCCCTCCCTTATCATCCACATCACCGCTCCCAGCCTCCCCTTCACCATCCTGTTCACCTCCGTCCCTCTCATCTCCCTCACTTTCCCCCACCCACCCTCCTCCTCTCCCTCTCACACCATTCATCACAACAACATTCCCAGCTCCCCTCTCTCCCTCCTCGCCCTGCTCCCGGGCTTGCCGCTGCCGATACTGCCCAATACGCTCCAGAAGCAGCCTGAGCGAAAGGGTGGGTGGGGGGGGAAGGCGGGAAAGTGTGGTTGGAGGAGAGGGGCAGTTGCCATGCGAATGATATGTGAATGCCAGCACGGGAGGTGATATGTGAATGCCAGCACGGGAGGTGATATGTGAATGCCAGCACGGGAGGTGATATGTGAATGCGAGCACGGGAGGTGATATGTGAATGCGAGCACGGGAGGTGATATGTGAATGCCAGCACGGGAGGTGATATGTGAATGCCAGCACGGGAGGTGATATGTGAATGCGAGCACGGGAGGTGATATGTGAATGCGAGCACGGGAGGTGATATGTGAATGCGAGCACGGGAGGTGATATGTGAATGCGAGCACGGGAGGTGATATGTGAATGCCAGCACGGGAGGTGATATGTGAATGCCAGCACGGGAGGTGATACGTGAATGCCAGCACGGGAGGTGATAGTGCTGTTACGAATAGGCTGCCAACCTTTGTGCCCGTAGAGTAACCCGAGGTGCATGGCATGGTGCCGAGAAGGGTGTGTGGTCCAGGTGACATGCACGTGTGTGTGCTTAAGGCGCGTAACTTATGGAAAAAGGAGGGACGGTGTGATTCAAACGGTATGTGTGCCGTATGAGGAGTGGTTCGGCTGACTGTACCTCGTCCAGACTGTAATGTGGAACTTGTACGTAATTCAAAATACTGGTCGAGTGTAATTCAGCACACGTGGGTTTCGCAATTTTCGTGTAAGGAATAGCGGCTCGGGCACACAGCAGAAACAGGGGTTGGAACAATGTGTTACATTTTCGCGCAACACCAGACCCTGCTGTCTCGTTGCTGCAGCGCAATTTTCACGCGCCAGCCAATCAACTCTGACCACTGTGCAGTGGTTCGTGAAGATAGCAACACCATTTGTAGAACAGCTGAGAGGCAAGAGGTTCCACCAACCAATGCGACATGCTTGTACCCTTCACGATGTGCGACATGCTTGTACCCTTCACGATGTGCGACATGCTTGTACCCTTCACGATGTGCGACATGCTTTTGAGTCGACTCAAATGCAACATCGCACAACAACTCGCGAAATTCTTCATTATGATTAACAAAGCCGGTAACCAGCGAAATGTCCGGACGGTCTTCAGTTCGTACGAGTGACTTTCGTCTAAGTTACGCGGCCTAAGCGTGTGCAGCTGCACCCATGTGTGCTTCCATGAAAACGTGTCTGCATGATTCTCACCGTTGCATGAGTTGGTCCCTTGCCTCGCGCTCATCGGCTGCCTCCCTCTGATTCATTCCATGGTGGCATGGCATGGCACGGCACGGCATGGCATGGCATGGCATGGCATGGCATGCGGGACAATGGCATGGCATGGTATGGGAGGAATAATGACATTTTATTGTGGCATGGCATGGCAGGCATGCATTGCATGGTGGCATGGCATGGGTGTACACAATAGGAGAAATTACATTGCTCTCCACAACATGGGGTGACAGAGTACATGCGATACGACCATGGGGTGACAAAGTACATGCCATACGACCATGAGCATTGAGAGAAAGGCAATGAGCAACGCGGCATAGGAACGACGCGGAGACGGGCCATAGGGAAGAGCGCAGACGCGGTGGGATCGCAATACATGGAGGGACCGTGAGGTGTGGAGGAAACATAATGCCTCGGGGGTTGGATAAGCAATGGGGCACAGAGGAGGAGGACATGGACAACACAGTGACAACTCAGTGACAACACAGTGACAACACAGTGACAACACAGTGACAACACAGTGACAACACAGTGGCAACACCGTGACAACACAGTGACAACACAGTGACAACACAGTGGCAACACCGTGACAACACAGTGACAACACAGTGACAACACAGTGACAACTCAGTGACAACACAGTGACAACACCGTGACAACACAGTGACAACTCAGTGACAACACAGTGACAACACCGTGACAACACAGTGACAACACAGTGACAACACAGTGACAACACCGTGACAACACAGTGACAACACAGTGACAACACAGTGACAACACAGTGACAACACAGCGACAACACAGTGACAACACAGTGACAACACAGTGACAACACGGCAATGTGACAACAAGGCAATGTGGCGCCATAGACACCACACAAGGCAATGTGGCGCCATAGACACCACACAAGGCAATGTGGCGCCATAGACACCACACAAGGCAATGTGGCGCCATAGACACCACACAAGGCAATGTGGCGCCATAGACACCACACAAGGCAATGTGGCGCCATAGACACCACACAAGGCAATGTGGCGCCATAGACACCACACAAGGCAATGTGGCGCCATAGACACCACACAAGGACTTGATGTGTACCCTCTCCAATCATTCTTCTTTCCTCCACCAACCATTCTCCTCCCAACCCCCCTCCCCCACCCCTCCCCCCCCCCCAACCCCCACCCCCCCCCGGCCTCACCTCCTCCTCCTCCTGCCGCTCATCAATGTGCTCCATGTCGCCTCGTATGGATCGCTCAAACGCCCTCAGCTCCTCCCTGCATCCATGCACACAGCAGCACGGCGTGCAATCAGCACACAGTTGAATACACGCATGCCATGGACAACACACGCATGCCATGGACAACACACGCATGCCATGGACAACACACGCATGCCATGGACAACACACGCATGCCATGGACAACACACGCATGCCATGGACAACACACGAGTCTCCCTGGCAGTCTGTGCAACACGCAACATGCCCAATGCGCGCAGCTGCTCTCACTCCCTACACTGGCACCACTCTACCGGTGACTCATTCACCGTCTTGTACGCCACAAGTCACACTCTCTGTGCTTACTCCAAGAACGCCACCCCTCGTGCCTTGCGGTTGGCCTCCTTTCTGTCATGGAACCGCTGTTCTTACCCCACCATGCACAACCCTGCACTGCACTGCACTGCAATCACCTGCCATACAAGCATCTTTCTTTCCCTCACCCAGCACCACCCACCCAGCACCTCAAAAAGCTGCCTTCTCTTCCCGAAAGCATGCGACTCACTCGGCGTCTGGCGCCTTGCATTCCATGCCCACCATCCCACGCCCACCATCCCACGCCCACCATCCCACGCCCACCATCCCACGCCCACCATCCCACGCCCACCATCCCACGCCCCATGCACACACACACACAGACAACTCCAACCACTCGCAGCCATGCCCAGCGCGCACTGCCCCCCACCCAACCAGCAAGCCACTCACTCCGCGTCTGGCTTCTTATACTCCACGCCCCTCGCCCTGTGGTCCGCCTCCTTGCTGTCAAAGAACCCCTCCGGTAACACCCCCTGCCCCGCCCCTCCCTCCCTGCCTGCCGCCTCCTTGCCCGTCCCCCCTCCCCCCTTCCCTCCCTTTCCACCAGCAGCGGAAGGAGCGGCAGCAGGGACAGGGGCTGCAGCAGCAGCGGGGGCTGCAGCAGCAGCGGGTGCTGCAGCAGCTGCTGATGTTGAAGGGCCATCGAAGAAATCAGGCGGAAGGGCAGAGGCTGCAGCAGGAGCGGAGGGAACCGAGGGGGCGGCAGCAGCGGGTGGGGCGGCATGGAAGAAATCCGGCGGCAGGCCGGTGGTGCTGGGAGCAGCAGAGGGGGCCGATGAGGCAGGCGCATTGGCACGGGCAGCAGGGTCCGCATGGGCGGCAGGGACGGCAGGGGTGGATGCAGGTGGTCCCGATGTTGGCCTCACAGACAACGCGGCTGCTGGTGAGAGCGCTGCTGCTGGTGGGGAGGCTGGTGGGTTGGCAGGCGCGGAGGCAGCAGCACTGGTGGTGGCGGAGGGCGGGTCTGATGGGAGGACGATGGGGGGAAGGGGGGGAGTGGGTTGGGAGGGTGGGGGATGGTAGAGGATGGTGGGGACATGCGATGCGAGGGGTAGGAGAGCAAAAGAGGACCGTTGAAGCATAAGCGAAGCGAAAGCATTGAGAACGCGCTTTTGGAAGGTACTGCATACAGCGTGCCCCACTCAGCGTGCCCCACCCAGCGTGCCCCTTCAAGCGTACCCGACCCACAGCCACACCCACCATGGCGAGGGCGTTTAGGTGTCGAAGCAGAATCAAAGAAGTCACTCGGGAGGGCCCCAGCAGCAGCAGCAGCAGCTCTCTGGCCGCCTGCAGCAGGTGCTCGCGTGGTGGCAGCGGCGGTGGCAGGAGGTGCTGCGGCCTTGGCTCTCTGCTTGAGCCGCTCCGCACTCTTGAGAGGAGACACGAAGTGGCGGGTGGAATGGGAGGAGTGATGGAGGGAAGAAAGGGAGGGGGAAAAGGGGAGGCGGCAAGGGGAGGAGAGCATAAGAGAGAAAATTGGAACGGTGGAGAAGCGTGGAAGATGGAAAGCGGGTTGGTGGAGAGTGGACGCACAAGACTTGGGGAACAGGGGAGAGGGCAGTAGGAGAGGGCTGCAGGCGTGGTTGCCTCTGGTTTGTAAGTTGTGACCAGTGCAAACCAAAAAGGTTTGTGAATTTCAGATTGGCCAGCAGAAGCGCGCCCTGAAGAGTTGCAGGGAGGTGAGCTTCGAGACATTTCAAAAGGTGAGCTTTGCATGACTTGATTTTGATTGGTTTATGAATTTCAGATTGGCTGGCAGAAACCTTTGAGGGCGTGTTACATTTTCTACTTTTTTCGTCCGGACGGTTGGCCGTCCGAACGACTGTGTGGTTACGAAACTCGTTCAATATCGGCAGTGAGTTCGTCAGGGTCTAAACGACGTCGCATGCTTCATTTGGCTAACTTACGACATCGCATTGGTCGCAACGCGACCGAGCGACGTCGCAATCTTCGCACGCGTCCGGACTTTCAGCGATTTCGAAAAATGTAACACGGCCTAACCAGTGGCTGACTGGTTCCTGAGCCCGCCCTCGGTGTTCGAAGCGAGGGGAGAGTGGTGGGGGATGACGAGGTGAGAAGGAGAGAGCGAGACGACTAGTGAGGGTGCAGAGAGGTGGGGGCGGCAAGGAGGAGAAGCATGCGCGAATGCTTGAGTAACATCGTTTCGCAGAAACATCGTTTCACTCCCTCCAACCGACTTCACGGAAAATGCTTCAATTGGTCGGAAAATGCTTTCAATTGTGCCACCCACCCCCCTCGTGTGCGACCCACCCCCTCGTGTGCGACCTACCCCCCTCGTATGCGACCCACCCCCCTCTCCCCCCCTTTCTCCGCTCCCCCGTCCTCCTCTCCCAGGACGAATGGCAGGAGGAACCCAGCTACGATGAGAGACAGGGCGGGCGCGAGAAAACAGGGGGTACGTGAGAGACACGCACCTCCTTGTGCTGCTTGCTGACAAGATGTGCCGCCCAGAGGCTTTCGGATTTGATCACGGTGGTGCAGACTCGGCACACGGCCTGCCCCAGTTCGTTGTACCTGGTGGGCGGGCAGGAGTAGAAATGTTTGAGAGTTGCCCTACATGCGATGGCATGGGATGGGATGGTGTGGCGTGGTAAGGCATATGTATAGTATGATTGTCTTGCCTCTCCTTTCTTCCCTTTCCCCTCTCCCCTCCCGCCTCCCCACTCCTGCCTCCCCCCTCTCGCTTCTCACCTCCCCCCTCCCCCCTCCCCACTCCCCCCTCCCCCCTCCCGCCTCTCGCCTCCCGCCTCTCGCCTCGCGCGCATCATTGCCCCTTGCGATCCCTCACCACCTCCCCGTGCCCACCGCCGCACCTCACGAGCGGGGAGTCGATGCGCTTCTCCGTCTTCTGCGCCATCTCGCGCATCATCGCGCGCAGCGCGCCCTTGTCGCGCCCCGCCCGCCCCGCCATCTGCGCCGCACAAGGGGGAATCCGCGCTTGGAGCAGCGGCGGTAAGCGGAACCCACCGCAAATGCGGTTGGCAAGGCGCGTGACAGAGTGGTAGAGAGGGGTACTGGTAGGTCGAGCGCGCGAGAGAAGAGAACACGGGATTCGACCGAAAATACAATTTCTGTTGATTTTAGTGACCTTGTGTAACACAGGGATGCTAGGTCTGCTGTGTCGCCGACTCTTCTGTTGAGTTTCCCGTTGAATTTTCTGATTGATTGGGGAATGCGCCCGAACGAGATTGTTGACTAGAGATGACTTTTAGTGCTGCTCAGTTCTTGTTATAACCCCTTTGTTTGAACTCCTACAGATAACAGGTGAAATACCAATCGATTCCTGCAATCAGAAGCATTCTACACCTTTTAGCACCCATTAAAGGACACTAAGGCGTTTCGAACGGTGATAATAAAAATGTTTTTTTTTTTTGTTCTCATATGACACCCATATCGACTGGTAAATGCCACACTATTTGGGGACCCAATAGCTTTGAGCAAGCATGGCACATGCTCTGCCCTCAAACGCATGTATGGCCATGTGCCCACATGCTATGCTTGCTGCTGCTGCTGGCCATGGGATGAAGGAAACAGCTGTGAACACACAGAAGCAAAAACACAAACAAACGAACAAGTTGAAGACACACGAAAAAAGAGACGAAGACAGACATCATCGGCATTTCTTTGCCCAAATAAACATTCCTTGTCACAAAGATGATGAGTTTTGCAACAAAGACGTAAGATAATCTGCTCTCATCTCTATGTCTGATCACCTTGTAAGGAGGCAATGTGTGAGACGAAGAGCAGCACTTGCACTGAGAGGAAGAGCATGCCCCACTCGTACTTCCATATCTGGCGTGGGCGTGTGGCATGTGGCATGGGCATGTGGCATGGGTGTGTGACATGTGCATGTCGCATGTGACATGTGCATGAGGCATGTGGCATGGGCATGTGGCATGTGGCATGGGCATGTGGGATGGGCATGTGGCATTAGCGTGTAACGAGAGATGTGAAGCACAAAATAGGTCAAGGGGAGATGTGAAGCACAAAATAGGTCAAGGGGAGATGTGAAGCACAAAATAGGTCAAGGGGAGATGTGAAGCACAAAATAGGTCAAGGGGAGATGTGAAGCACAAAATAGGTCAAGGGGAGATGTGAAGCACAAAATAGGTCAAGGGGAGATGTGAAGCACAAAATAGGTCAAGGGGAGATGTGAAGCACAAAATAGGTCAAGGGGAGATGTGAAGCACAAAATAGGTCAAGGGGAGATGTGAAGCACAAAATAGGTCAAGGGGAGATGTGAAGCACAAAATAGGTCAAGGGGAGATGTGAAGCACAAAATAGGTCAAGGGGAGATGTGAAGCACAAAATAGGTCAAGGGGAGATGTGAAGCACAAAATAGGTCAAGGGGAGATGTGAAGCACAAAATAGGTCAAGGGGAGATGTGAAGCACAAAATAGGTCAAGGGGAGATGTGAAGCACAAAATAGGTCAAGGGGAGATGTGAAGCACAAAATAGGTCAAGGGGAGATGTGAAGCACAAAATAGGTCAAGGGGAGATGTGAAGCACAAAATAGGTCAAGGGGAGATGTGAAGCACAAAATAGGTCAAGGGGAGATGTGAAGCACAAAATAGGTCAAGGGGAGATGTGAAGCACAAAATAGGTCAAGGGGAGATGTGAAGCACAAAATAGGTTAAGGGGAGATGTGAAGCACACAATAGGTCAAGGGGAGAAAGGTGATTCATGAGTTCAAGTGTGCGATGCCACGTGCGATGCTGCCGTGCACACCACCATGGCACCGCACGGCTGGATGATGGCAATCCATGGTATGGTATGCAGGCATCACACAACGAGGAGCAAGGGGAGGAGAAGGAGAGAGCGCACCAGAAGCGGGAGCGCAAGGCACTCTGGAGGGCTGGAGAGGAGAAGGCTGTAGAAGAACAGTGGGAAGGGCACACTGTGAGGGGAAAGGGGGGGAAAGGGGGAGAGGTGTAAGGGAAATACAGAGAGAGGGCAGAGGAGGATGAAGGTAGGGGAAGCACAAAGTCAAAGAAGAGGGAGGAAGTGGATGAAACAAGGGAAGGGGCGGATGAAAGGAAGGGGCGGATGAAAGGAAGGGGCGGATGAAAGGAAGGGGCGGATGAAAGGAAGGGGCGGATGAAAGGAAGGGGCGGATGAAAGGAAGGGGCGGATGAAAGGAAGGGGCGGATGAAAGGAAGGGGCGGATGAAAGGAAGGGGCGGATGAAAGGAAGGGGCGGATGAAAGGAAGGGGCGGATGAAAGGAAGGGGCGGATGAAAGGAAGGGGCGGATGAAAGGAAGGGGCGGATGAAAGGAAGGGGCGGATGAAAGGAAGGGGCGGATGAAAGGAAGGGGCGGATGAAAGGAAGGGGCGGATGAAAGGAAGGGGCGGATGAAAGGAAGGGGCGGATGAAAGGAAGGGGCGGATGAAAGGAAGGGGCGGATGAAAGGAAGGGGCGGATGAAAGGAAGGGGCGGATGAAAGGAAGGGGCGGATGAAAGGAAGGGGCGGATGAAAGGAAGGGGCGGATGAAAGGAAGGGGCGGATGAAAGGAAGGGGCGGATGGAAGGAAGGGGCGGATGAAAGGAAGGGGCGGATGAAAGGAAGGGGCGGATGAAAGGAAGGGGCGGATGAAAGGAAGGGGCGGATGAAAGGAAGGGGCGGATGAAAGGAAGGGGCGGATGAAAGGAAGGGGCGGATGAAAGGAAGGGGCGGATGAAAGGAAGGGGCGGATGAAAGGAAGGGGCGGATGGAAGGAAGGGGCGGATGAAAGGAAGGGGCGGATGAAAGGAAGGGGCGGATGAAAGGAAGGGGCGGATGAAAGGAAGGGGCGGATGAAAGGAAGGGGCGGATGAAAGGAAGGGGCGGATGAAAGGAAGGGGCGGATGAAAGGAAGGGGCGGATGAAAGGAAGGGGCGGATGAAAGGAAGGGGCGGATGAAAGGAAGGGGCGGATGAAAGGAAGGGGCGGATGAAAGGAAGGGGCGGATGAAAGGAAGGGGCGGATGAAAGGAAGGGGCGGATGAAAGGAAGGGGCGGATGAAAGGAAGGGGCGGATGAAAGGAAGGGGCGGATGAAAGGAAGGGGCGGATGAAAGGAAGGGGCGGATGAAAGGAAGGGGCGGATGAAAGGAAGGGGCGGATGAAAGGAAGGGGCGGATGAAAGGAAGGGGCGGATGAAAGGAAGGGGCGGATGAAAGGAAGGGGCGGATGAAAGGAAGGGGCGGATGAAAGGAAGGGGCGGATGAAAGGAAGGGGCGGATGAAAGGAAGGGGCGGATGAAAGGAAGGGGCGGATGAAAGGAAGGGGCGGATGAAAGGAAGGGGCGGATGAAAGGAAGGGGCGGATGAAAGGAAGGGGCGGATGAAAGGAAGGGGCGGATGAAAGGAAGGGGCGGATGAAAGGAAGGGGCGGATGAAAGGAAGGGGCGGATGAAAGGAAGGGGCGGATGAAAGGAAGGGGCGGATGAAAGGAAGGGGCGGATGAAAGGAAGGGGCGGATGAAAGGAAGGGGCGGATGAAAGGAAGGGGCGGATGAAAGGAAGGGGCGGATGAAAGGAAGGGGCGGATGAAAGGAAGGGGCGGATGAAAGGAAGGGGCGGATGAAAGGAAGGGGCGGATGAAAGGAAGGGGCGGATGAAAGGAAGGGGCGGATGAAAGGAAGGGGCGGATGAAAGGAAGGGGCGGATGAAAGGAAGGGGCGGATGAAAGGAAGGGGCGGATGAAAGGAAGGGGCGGATGAAAGGAAGGGGCGGATGAAAGGAAGGGGCGGATGAAAGGAAGGGGCGGATGAAAGGAAGGGGCGGATGAAAGGAAGGGGCGGATGAAAGGAAGGGGCGGATGAAAGGAAGGGGCGGATGAAAGGAAGGGGCGGATGAAAGGAAGGGGCGGATGAAAGGAAGGGGCGGATGAAAGGAAGGGGCGGATGAAAGGAAGGGGCGGATGAAAGGAAGGGGCGGAGAGAATGGAGGCAAATGGGAGACGGCAGGTTGGGGCTTGAGAAAGAGTTGGGGTGAGGCGGCAGCGCAGCACGCATGCACAAGGGGGCAGCTCGCATGCACAAGGGGGCAGCTCGCATGCACAAGGGGGCAGCTCGCATGCACAAGGGGGCAGCTCGCATGCACAAGGGGGCAGCTCGCATGCACAAGGGGGCAGCTCGCATGCACAAGGGGGCAGCTCGCATGCACAAGGGGGCAGCTCGCATGCACAAGGGGGCAGCTCGCATGCACAAGGGGGCAGCTCGCATGCACAAGGGGGCAGCTCGCATGCACAAGGGGGCAGCTCGCATGCACAAGGGGGCAGCTCGCATGCACAAGGGGGCAGCTCGCATGCACAAGGGGGCAGCTCGCATGCACAAGGGGGCAGCTCGCATGCACAAGGGGGCAGCTCGCATGCACAAGGGGGCAGCTCGCATGCACAAGGGGGCAGCTCGCATGCACAAGGGGGCAGCTCGCATGCACAAGGGGGCAGAAGGTGAAGACATTTCAAAGGGGCTCATGTTGGGTAGGTTCAAGCGTCTGCAAGCTGGTGCCTTTGACACTTAGGGGCCTTTCTCCTAAGGGGCGCCACAAACAACTTGATACAGACAGCCGTCTCAAGGCACTCTGTTCAACCCCCTTCAAGCCACTTCACTGACCCCCCTGGATGCCCGTGGGGGCGGGTGAGTCTTGAGCCCACTCAACAGTCCCCCCTCACGGCACTTCACTGACCCCCCTCAACACCCGGTTGACCCCAGCATGGTGGCAGGCACTGACAGCGAGGGGGACAGCCGAGGCGAGCACCAGGTTGTGCACCACGTGGCGGTGCGCCTGGGGCTTTAAGAGCAAGACGTCCAGCAGCACCAGCTGGGGTTGGGGGGGATTGGGGGGCAGGAGGAGGGATGGGAGGGGACAGGACACATGAGAGGCGCCTGGGGCTTTAAGAGCAGCACGTCTAGTAGCACCAGCTGGGGGTTGGGGGGAGCGAGAGAGGAGAGGAATGGGCGAGAGACAGAAGGCAATGGCAGGGGAAGCAGGGGGGGCGCATGGGAGGACAGGCTCTGAGGCGGCCCACACGGTTGCTTCCGCACCACGTGGCAGTGTGCATGGGACTTTAAGAGCAACACGTCTAGTAGCACAAGCTGCGGGGAGGAGGGGGACATGGGAGGGCGTGTGGGAGAGCGTCCGGGTGATGCATCTGGGGCTTTAAGAGCAGCACTTCCAGCAGCAGCAGCAGCTGTGGCGGGTGGGCAGGGGGATGGGAAGGGGGCAGGAGGGGCGCATGGGAGTGATGCGCCTGCACTGCCACCCTTGGGCTGAGCAGCATATGGGTCGAGCGCACGAGGGGAGTGCAATGAGGGGACGAGGGGAGTGCAATGAGGGGTCGAGGGGAGTGCAATGAGGGAGTGGTGTGTTGCGCATATGACAGTAGGGGGAGGACAGGCGCACCAGGGGGAAGACAGGCGCACCAGGGGGAGGACAGGCGCACCAGGGGGAGGACAGGCGCACCAGGGGGAAGACAGGCGCACCAGGGGGAGGACAGGCGCACCAGGGGGAGGACAGGCGCACCAGGGGGAAGACAGGCGCACCAGGGGGAGGACAGGCAAACCAGGGGGAGGACAGGCAAACCAGGGGGGGGAGGGGCGAACCAGGGGGAGGAGGGGCGCACCAGGGGGAGGAAGGGGGCGGAGAGGGGGAAACCAGGGGGAGGGGAGAGGAGGGGGGGCGCACCAGGGGTGGGGCGGGCACACCAGGAAAGAGGAGGGAACGCACGAGGGGGTCGCACTCGACGTAGGGGTCGGCTGCAGCTCCACACTCGCCCTGCTCATAGTGGAGTGGCGCACAAGGCGTGGGGCATGGCGTGGAGCATGGCGTGGAGCATGGCGTGGAGCATGGCGTGGAGCATGGCGTGGAGCATGGCGTGGAGCATGGCGTGGGGCATGGCGTGGAGCATGGCGTGGAGCATGGCGTGGGGCATGGCGTGGAGCATGGCGTGGAGCATGGCGTGGAGCATGGCGTGGAGCATGGCGTGGAGCATGGCGTGGAGCATGGCGTGGAGCATGTCGTGGAGCATGGCGTGGAGCATGGCGTGGAGCATGGCGTGGAGCATGGCGTGGAGCATGGCGTGGAGCATGGCGTGGAGCATGGCGTGGAGCATGGCGTGGAGCATGGCGTGGAGCATGGCGTGGAGCATGGCGTGGAGCATGGCGTGGAGCATGGCGTGGGCATGGCGTGGAGCATGGCGTGGAGCATGGCGTGGAGCATGGCGTGGAGCATGGCGTGGAGCATGGCGTGGAGCATGGCGTGGAGCATGGCGTGGAGCATGGCGTGGAGCATGGCGTGGAGCATGGCGTGGAGCATGGCGTGGAGCATGGCGTGGGGCATGGCGTGGGGCATGGCGTGGAGCATGGCGTGGAGCATGGCGTGGAGCATGGCGTGGAGCATGGCGTGGAGCATGGCGTGGAGCATGGCGTGGAGCATGGCGTGGAGCATGGCGTGGAGCATGGCGTGGGGCATGGCGTGGAGCATGGCGTGGAGCATGGCGTGGAGCATGGCGTGGAGCATGGCGTGGAGCATGGCGTGGAGCATGGCGTGGAGCATGGCGTGGAGCATGGCGTGGAGCATGGCGTGGAGCATGGCGTGGGGCATGGCGTGGGGCATGGCGTGGAGCATGGCGTGGAGCATGGCGTGGAGCATGGCGTGGAGCATGGCGTGGAGCATGGCGTGGAGCATGGCGTGGAGCATGGCGTGGAGCATGGCGTGGGGCATGGCGTGGAGCATGGCGTGGAGCATGGCGTGGAGCATGGCGTGGAGCATGGCGTGGAGCATGGCGTGGAGCATGGCGTGGAGCATGGCGTGGGGCATGGCGTGGGGCATGGCGTGGAGCATGGCGTGGAGCATGGCGTGGAGCATGGCGTGGAGCATGGCGTGGAGCATGGCGTGGAGCATGGCGTGGAGCATGGCGTGGAGCATGGCGTGGAGCATGGCGTGGGGCATGGCGTGGAGCATGGCGTGGAGCATGGCGTGGAGCATGGCGTGGAGCATGGCGTGGAGCATGGCGTGGAGCATGGCGTGGAGCATGGCGTGGAGCATGGCGTGGAGCATGGCGTGGAGCATGGCGTGGAGCATGGCGTGGAGCATGGCGTGGAGCATGGCGTGGAGCATGGCGTGGAGCATGGCGTGGAGCATGGCGTGGAGCATGGCGTGGAGCATGGCGTGGAGCATGGCGTGGGGCATGGCGTGGGGCATGGCGTGGAGCATGGCGTGGAGCATGGCGTGGAGCATGGCGTGGAGCATGGCGTGGAGTATACATGGGCAACGAGCCGAGCCGAGTTTTACTCGGCTCGTCCCCAGGCACACTCGTACGAGCTTTGGTCCGAGCCGAGTTTTGCTCGTACGAGCTTTATCTGGGCAAATGGAAGCTCGTCGGCCAAAAAGCACGAGCTTTTCAAAAGCTCGTCCGGGCTTCAAGGAAAGCTCGGACGAGCCGAGGGAAGCTCGGCTCGTTGCCATACACAGTCTAAATAACCCAACCTATGCCCCACCATGTCCCTCCATCTCTGCTGTGCAGGTGTACGAGGTACTAGCTTAGACGTTTCATCGGTCGCGTTCAGTCAGATCTAAGTCGTAATCGTCAGCAATGTGGACCCTAAGTCATCGAAATAATAAGAAAACCTATGGTGCGTGGTCGACGCACTCCAAAATGTCAGCGCAACCTAAATCCGTGAAAGGGATCCCGAGTCGAATCAAGGTCGTAACCACTAAAAACGGGCCAGATTGCTCCGTGAGCTAGGACGCGATCATGATCGCGTTTGTGAGGTGAGGGTCTGCTGCGTCAAAGTAGGGAAAAGTAGACCTGGAAAAATGGCCCGACACATTTGTACCAACCCAACTCTCAGATCTAGGTTTCGGTGTTCGCGCCGAGCTTTCCGTAAGCTCGGCGAGTTTTTAAAACTCGCCGAGTGAAAAAAGCTCGGCGAGTTTCTAAAAAAACTCGTCGGTGCAACGAGTACTCGGCGAGTTTAAAAAACTCGCCGAGCGAAACTCGCCTCGGCTCGGACGAGTTATTTTCACGGAAAATGACACTCGGTACTCGCCCTCAAACGAGTGCCTCGTACGAGCCGAGGCAAAAAACTCGGCTCGTTGCCCATGTATAGCGTGGAGCATGGCGTGGGGCATGGCGTGGGGCATGGCGTGGAGCATGGCGTGGAGCATGGCGTGGAGCATGGCGTGGAGCATGGCATGGAGCATGGCGTGGAGCATGGCGTGGAGCATGGCGTGGAGCATGGCGTGGAGCATGGTGTGGAGCATGGCGTGGGGCATGGCGTGGAGCATGGCGTGGAGCATGGCGTGGAGCATGGCGTGGAGCATGGCGTGGAGCATGTCGTGGAGCATGGCGTGGAGCATGGCGTGGAGCATGGCGTGGAGCATGGCGTGGAGCATGGCGTGGAGCATGGCGTGGAGCATGGCGTGGAGCATGGCGTGGAGCATGGGGCGTAGGGAGGGACAAGGCGTGGGAGAGATGATTGGAATGAAAGTGCCACGCCAGTTAGGGAAGTGATGTGAAGGACATTGGTGCATGGGGCATGGGGCATGGGGCATGGGGCTTGGGGCATGGGGTGGGGCTTGGGGCATGGGGCATGGGGCATGGGGCATGGGGCATGGGGCATGGGGCATGGGGCATGGGGCATGGGGCATGGGGCATGGGGCATGGGGCATGGGGCATGGGGCATGGGGCATGGGGCATGGGGCATGGGGCATGGGGCATGGGGCATGGGGCATGGGGCATGGGGCATGGGGCATGGGGCATGGGGCATGGGGCATGGGGCATGGGGCATGGGGCATGGGGCATGGGGCATGGGGCATGGGGCTTGGGGCATGGGGCTTGGGGTCAGAGGACACGGGAGCATGAATGGAGGGCAGCAGCACTCACGCATTTATGCACTCACGCATTTGAGCACTCACGCATTTGAGCACTCACGCATTTGAGCACCTCAATGCTGCCGGGCGAGTGCACGCGGTACAGCTGCTCCCTCCGTGCCCCACACGTCACACACACCATGCGCCCCCTCGCCCCCTGCCCCACCTTGCCCTCGCTGCCGCCCATGCCAGCAACCCCCCCCCCCCACACCGTCCGCTGGTCCACTAGTCTGCTGCTTCGCTAGCCTGGGCCCCCACCTCTCGATTCTCAAAAACCAGCTGATGCCTCCTTCGCATGCGAGGCTGGCTGCGAGGGCGTGGGCTGCAGAGGGGAGAGAGGGGATGAGGTGGGTGCCATGGCAATTCAGCAGCCGTGCATGAGGGCGTGTAGAGGGGGGGAAGGGGAGAATTCGTGCATGCTTGGTTTTTCTCTTCGCTTTCACAATCAGGCTGCCCTCGTTGTGTTTGCTCTCCACTCACACTCGGCGCGTACACCGCACTCCTCTTCTCCTTCTCTCCTCCTCTCCTTGTCCTCGATCATGCTTCGTATCGGGGCAAAGCAGGGTGGAAACGACGCGAGTGCTGGGACGAGGACGAACGCATGGGAACGGAGGAATGGAGGGCGAAAGGAGTGGAGGGCAGAGGTCGCGGAGGGCGCGGAGGGCGCGGAAAGAGCGGAGGGCGCGGAGGGCGCGGAGGGCGCGGAAAGCGCGGAGAGGTCGCGGCGAGGTCCGTGCATACCTGGCGTGGCGAGAGATGCGGCACGCGGCGAATGCGGCTTGAGGAGTGGCACGAGCGCGCAACGAGAGTCGCGCGAAATGCAATCTCGCGCCTTCGTTACTTTCCGCTCGCGCTCCTGCTGCCAGGCTCTTCCCCAGTGTCCTTGGCCCCTGCTGGCATGGGAGACCAAGTATCACTCTGAGCTATGCTGAAGCACTCACAAACGA